CAGCTTTTCAGTCTCCATGACAAATTCTGAGACAGCTAACCTAAAAGAGAAAAGTTTTCTTTGAGCTCACAGCTTAGGAGTCTGCAGTCTGTGATTGGCTGGCCTGTTGTTTGATGCCTGTGACCATGCAGCTAGTCATGGCAGCCATGCTTGGCAGAGCAAAACCTGCTCACCACATGACTGGGAAGCCAAAGAGGGGCCATACCCCCAGGGACCAAAACCTTCTCACTATTCCCACCCCTTAAAGGTTCCACCACCTCCCATAGCTCTCTGGGCTAGGGACCAAACCTTCAACACATGGTCTTTGGGGTCATTAACAGCCCCAATACAGGGGATGGAGAAAGGTAGGCAGAAGCAGCCAAGCCAATTGGTTGGAAACTCAGCAGGTGTGGGGGTGAAGAGCTAGAAGGAGACCCAGGAGCCAAGCCCCAGAAGGAAGACCTTCTTGGGGTTTGAAGTGAAATTGGAAGGCAGCAAGAGAAAGGTCGTGCTGTGCCTCCCTGTGGGAGCAGGGGCTAGTTTAGGTGTATTCTTAGACAGGTGCCACTGAGAAATGACAGGGGGAAAGGAGATGAAGAAAAGGCTCTTTAAGAAAAAGCCTCCCTGCAGCTCTGTGCAGAACAGAAGGGACAGGCAGGGGCTGTGAGGGCTGTCCAGGCTGTTGCAGGCATCTAAGCAAAATGAGATGCCAGAGGGAACAACTCCAGGAGCCAGGTGAAGGGAACGCCCACTGGAAAGGAAGCTAAACACCATTGGATGCTTAGGAGACTCATTCAGCACACTGAGCAAGTGTTGAGTGCCTGCTGTGTGCCCTGTGTTCATGAGGTTTTCAGGGCCTCCTTTATAAAGACCACTTCTAAGGTAAGTTAACCCAGCTGGACTTTGTGCCTGCAAGAAGTCAGAGGACAGTGTGCAGGATAGGAGAGAAAGCCTACTAGGGGGCCAAGAAGGAGGCTGCCCAGGTACTGAGAGTAGCCTTGGCTTCAAGACCCCAGTGTACTTGTTGAAGCTTTCATATTCTTAGTTTACACTGTATTGTTATAAAAAAACTGAAGCTAGGAAATTTATAAAGAAAATAGGTTTATTTGGCTGACAGTTCTAGTAGCTAGAAAGTTCAAACAGCATGGCATCAGCATTTGGCAAGGGCTCCCAGAAGCATCACAGCACAGGGAGAAGAAGCAGGAATCAAGAAGGGAAATTGCTGTATATAAAAAGGCCACATATATAGGGTGGCCTTGCTTTATAACCCTCTGTCATGACAACTATTCCAGCCTCACAAAGCCTGGTCCACTCCCACTAGACAGCATTAGTCTGTTCCCGAAGGTGGAGCCACCACAACCTAATTACCTTCCACTAGCCCCCCCTCTTAAATGTTCCCCCACCTCAAAACCACCATGAGGACCATGTAGTGGAACTGGCATGCATATATGCTGGAAGCTGGGGAGGGAAGAAAAGGCAAGGCAGCAAGCAGGTCCAGCAGCTGTCACTCGGACTGGAGGAGGATGGAAGTGGCTGAGGAGGACAGCACTGCAGGATGCTGCCAGCCAAGTACCCATCTTCAGGGGTCATGGATCAGTTCCCCATCCTGCACTCATGGCATGCAACAGAGAGAGAAATGCCTGCCCCCTTCAACCCTCAGAAATCCTTGCAAGTTCTGAGGGCTGCAGGGAGAGTGCTGAGAGGAGGCAGCAGGCAGAAGGAAGCAGGTGCAGGCAGGTGGAGGCTGGAGCAAAGCAGTATAGGCCTTGCCTTACCTTACCTGCCATCTGTGGCCATAGCAGAGCATCTCCTGGGAGCTGCTGCCAGTGGAGTCTGCAGCCTGCAGCACAGATGGCTGTATTTTCTAAGCAACTTGTCTCCACACAGTGGTCAGAAAGAGAGTAAGAACCAACTGTGGCAGAGGCTGTTGGGACCATCCATCTCCCTCAGACCTTCCATCCCTGAGGGCCACCTCTATGTGAGTGCCTTTCTCTGCAAACTAGTCCTTGTGGTTCGAGCAGGAAACAGGTAAAAAGTGGGAAAAATTAACAGCCAAAGAGATCAGCCAGACAGACTGATGGGAATAGGTACTAGGTACCCACCTTCCTCCCCCATTTGGTGGGAAAAATGGGGTTCCTGCTGTACACAGACACCCAGAACCCTTTGGGATTAAGCCTCAGCTGCCCACATTGGTGACTGATTGGCTAGCATGCCTTTCCCCTCTGCCTTGTTCGCACCCACCCAAAGTGTTTACCTCCCAGATGAACGACTTACACTTGAACCCTTGTCCTAGAGTCTGCTTTTTGGAGTGTCCAAACTCCCAACAGGATGCAGTAGGGAGCTCTTGGCCAGAAGGCTATCTTCAAGCCCAGCCCTTTCCTGTGTGAGATTCCCAGCTCCAGGAAGACTTTGCACAAGTCAGTTGGTTGAGCATAAATTAAATATTTATGTTTGCAGTAAGACTCGGGCCATACTGCACGAGATGCCATGTTGTCCATCAATTTGAGTAAGAGCCATGCTGGTAACAATGCCCTATGGATGGCTTCGGGCTCACCGCTGGAAAACATAGTCTACTGATTTGTCATCAAGAGCTAAATATAAAAAAAAAAATTGTAGCCTGAGTCAAAGTTATTTTCAGCATCTGGCCTGACTTTGTAACCATTGAGGATGCTATTCTTGAGGGCTGTCTTCATGGAAGCTAGGGTCCACCCTGGCATTTGTCAGGAACTACCCAACCCCTCTCCCAGGGCAAATCAGTCTTACTAAGCTCTAGCACCCCCAGATCTACCATGTCTCAGGTACTGTTTCTGACAAGCCTCTAGACATAGACACTAGGTCCGCTCCCAGGACTGTGGTGCCCTCTCCAAAAAGCCACAGTAAAAGAGAAGGGGTAAATAGACACCAGGCTTTGATTGGTTGGTTGGTTGGTTACTCAACTGATGCTTGCTGTCCTGGGAGTTGAACCCAGGGACTCTCAGGTGCTATAAGAGTGCTCAAGCAGTAATCTACATTCCCAACCCAACACCAGTTTTGATTAAGCGCCTGCTAAGCACTGAGCCCTGAAATTTATGAATCTATGTGAAATCCACCCAGAGAAGCCTTGTTGTCTCCAGTTCACAGAAAAAGGAAGTGAGACCCTCAGTGGCTTGCTGAGAGCTACACAAGCACAATTTAAAAGGTCGGGCTACCTAATGGTGTGCGGCTCTCCCCTTCCTCCATCATTCTTAGCTTCAGAAACTTTCTCCATGGCAGATGGTAGATGATATACAAGGGTCCTCAGGTTCATAAGTAGAGCATGGTGTCTCTGCCCTCAAGGACATACCACTGCTCTTATTTAGGAGAATCAGGGGAGAGAGAGAGAGAGAGAGAGAGAGAGAGAGAGAGAGAGACAGAGAGACAGAGAGAGAGAACCATAATTTGTCGAGGAATGCCACTCCTGGCTTGCTCAGTCTCACAGGCCCTGGGTCTGTTTAGAATCGAGACCTGAGCCCCTGTCTGTGGCTAGTCCTATACATAAAATAAAAGTAAATAAAACATTTTTTAAAAGAAAAGAAAATCTTCAAGTGTGACTAACCACAGTAATAAAAGTTATAAACATTGCTTTATTTTGGCTCTGGCAAAATCATGGCGTTAGGAACTTTGCTGTCTGTACTTCCCCATTGTCTACTGTCATGACATCTCTAAGTGTCCAGTGCCCTCTCTGGGGCCAGAGGTCTTGAGAGACAGAGAGACAGAGAGATAGAGAGACAGAGAGACAGAGAGAGAGAACCATAATTTGTCGAGGAATGCCACTCCTGGCTTGCTCAGTCTCACAGGCCCTGGGTCTGTTTAGAATCGAGACCTGAGCCCCTGTCTGTGGCTAGAATGAGGCAGGTGAAGAAGTGGTCTCTGTTGTACCTCTGCATTCAGTCCTCCTTTGCTGAGAGTGGCTGACTTAGGGACCATGGTGGGGATTTGAGGGGAGAGGTTTGTAGGGAGCAGGGTCATGGTGCCCATTTCTACCAGCCTGATGTTCTGCTCCCCCAAAGCTGTCCCAGAAGCTTTTATTCCTCAGTTTCCCTGGGACAGTCCCATGGCCCTACATTCTGACAGCCATGTGGTGCTGTGCTGGTTAAAGCTTAGGTCTAGGCTGTATCTCTCACTTCCTCCTAACTACCCACAGAATGAAAGATGAGCATTCAGTCAAGGCCCTCCATCATTGGATCCAGATAATGTGTTCTGAGTTCATTCTATAGGCTATCCTCTGGCCCCAAACTTGGCTCCCCCTACCCTCCTTTCCCTCCTATCTGCCATGCCCTCTGCCCAGTGCCCTCCTGGCTGACTCTTGAGATGTTAGGAGCTGTCACCAAGTGTGCCCTTCACCTGCACACATTGAACACTACCATCACCCCTGAATTTCAGTGGCACCCTGGTTGTTCCTCGAGACAGCACCATATTCCATGCCACCTCACACAGTGCCCACCACAGGACTTAACTCTGGCTTTTTTACCCTTTCTGTGCTAAGCACTATTTAAGTAGTGGTTGAAGTCTGCAGATCCCTCTCAAGTCATGCTTTCAAAAGCACAAAACACAGTACAAAGGTCTGAACATGAACTTGTTTTGTTGAAAGAGTTGTCAAAATATTTTTACATAAAATTTGTGGTAGAAACGTGCGGTAACCGGCAAAGACTTACACTGCAAACTCTTGTACATTCTAATGACGAGCCCTTCCAGAGAGTGGGAGCATAGTATTTCACAAGGTCTGCAACAACTGGGTATGGTAGGAAAGTTTACAGCAGCTGCCAGGTTTGATCTACAGAAAGAGCAGCTGCACCTGGTTTTCTCTACATTCAGATTTGCTGTTTGCACTCATCTAGGAAATGCTTACTGCAGGTAGAGCACATAAACAAGATGGTTTTCTTCTCTATCCAAGAACCCTTGAGGGCCACTAATACATGACCTGGCCAGGGCCCCTGGAGGGTTGGCAAATGCTCTTGGCATCCAGGACCCCTATCAACTAACTAGCGGATCTGTTCCTACAGGCTCTCTGTTCCCGCAGCTGAAGCCATCAGAGGGCGTCTTCAAGGTCATCTTCTGGCTCGGCTACTTCAACAGCTGTGTGAATCCACTCATCTACCCCTGCTCCAGTCGCGAGTTCAAGCGCGCTTTCCTCCGCCTCCTGCGCTGCCAGTGTCGCCGCCGCCGCCGCCGCCCCCTCTGGCGAGTCTATGGCCACCACTGGCGGGCCTCGACCAGCGGCCCGAGCCTGGACTGCACCCCCAGCCCAGGCGCCGCGCCCCCGGGGGCCCCGCTGGCCCTCACCGCACCCCCGACCCCCTGCTCCCCCGGCACGCCCGAGGTGCAGGCTTCCTTCTCCAGCCGTCGAAAGCCAGCCTCTGCCTTCCAGGAATGGAGGCTGCTTGGGCCGTTGCAGAGACCCACCAGCCAGCTGCGAGCGAAGGTGTCCAGCCTGTCCCATAAGATCCGCTCCGGGGGCGCCCAGCGCGCAGAGGTGGAGGCCGTGTCCCTAAGCGTGTCCCAAGATATGGCAGAAGGTGCCATCCGCCAGGCCTGTGAGCCTGTAGACTACAGCAGTCTCCGGGAGACTGACATTTAAGGGCACCTAGCTGGGGAATGTGGTGGGTCGGGGGTGGAGAGCGCTGTGAAGATGCTGTCTCTGTCTCGTGTGGAACTGATTTGTGTGACTGTTCTGTTCCTCAGGGAGCAACCAGGGCTGGACTTCAGGATTGGAGCTGGTCCAGGGTTGTGGGTTATGGCGCCCTCTGCTGGACGCAGGTGTCCAGAAGTCTCAGAAGGAACAGAATGCAGGATCTGCCGTTTCCATCCAGTCTCTGAGAAACTGCTCAGTAGGCTGACCCTGAAGCCTAGACAGAGGACCCCGGGTATGAGCACTCCCCTTGGGGAGGAAGAGGCACAGATCCTTGCCTCGCTGATCCCAGGGAAAAGGCTACTCAGTGGACACAGTTTCTCCTTACTGCCAACTGGAGGAGTCAGTTGACCCACCAGTACCACCCCAACTCTGGTGGCATCTTGGATGGCCACCATGCAAGCCTGCTCTATTTTGCCCTGGGCTCACTGTCCCCCTCCCTGCACTCCTACACTAGTCAGTATGTGCCCATCATCTGGCCTGGGCCTCACTATCCCTGCCCCAGGGGCCTTACTGTTTACACTGTACATAGCTCACTGTGCCTGTGCTTGCCCATCACTTCTTGCTGGGATTCCAAGCTGCTGACTGGGGAGAGCTTTGTTGTTTTGAAACATATTTATTGGTAAGAGAACTATATTTTGCCCACACTATGCAAACTGTCCCTCTTTAGCCTATAATCCATAAAGAACCTTCTTTTTCTAAAATCCTTAGAAATCCTTAGGCCACTACAGGCTAGAGTGGGTCTACGTTCGCCTCCCTAGTTTCAACATAACTGCCTCCAATAGGTGTTATCATTTGGATCTTTTAGCATGACTAAAGGACTTGGGAGTTTTGTGGGCTTTTAAAAGTAACATAAGCACAAATCTTCTCTTTGTCAGCCTCCATAGATGCATCTGTAACAGTTCAGGGGCCCAAGACAACACAATGGTCATCAGTTAAACATGTTAAACCTTACATGAAAGGTTACACAAGCCCAAGTAGAAGTGTGCATGAATACTAAGAGAACTTATACCTAGGAATCGATCATGTGGTAGCTTTGAGTAAAGTTGTATATCCCAGTGGGTCATAAACAATTCAGTCTCTAGAAAGAAAATACCAACCATATTTATCCAACCTGCATGGAGTGATAACTATGCCCAATGGACCCTCAAAGGTCAGCTATCTGGACAATACCTAGAGCATCTGGGGTTTTAAAACTGAACAGCCAGCTACTGGAGGCAACATGGGTCAGTGTTGTTAAGCCAAAAGTTTCTATCTCCTGCTAGGGAGGTAGTCTGTCTGAAGTGTCACCACAATCTCAAGTCTTTCAAAGTTAGTCTATAAATGCTCTAGGAGGGTTTTCAGATATGGCCTCCCCTAACCACCTAGGTACAGAGGAGAAGATTTGGGGAGCATGCTACATACCCCAAAGATGACTCCTTTTGTACATTCTGGCCTCCCTAAATCTGGGGAACAGGCCTTGCTATCTTCTCACAGAGGTGGGAATATGGGTCAAGTCAGAAGTCAGGCAGTGAGTAGGCAGACACATGTCAAATGACTGAACATTGGCCTCCTGAGTGGGTAGGAATGAGACAGGTTTGTTTCAACAGAAGGTCTGGGGAGAGTCTCTAAACATGCCAGGATACTTGAGTCCAGAGAACATCAACAGAGAGGAGAGAAAATAGCCTTCATAATGAGCCTCCTCGCCCTAGTCCACCCAGTGGGGGTGGAGGCAGATGGGATTGACAGCTTGCTTAGAATCTGTGCCAAGTATGACAGTCATCCCATGGTCAGACTTCAGCCCTATCTCCTGGGCACACAGCTGCTGTCCATACCAGGACCTGAGTGTGCAGGAGATGAAGAAGGCTGCAATGTCCCTAGAGAGGTCAAGTCTCAACAGGGACCTCCAGGGATCTTGTTCTCATAGCTAAGAAAGCACTGCTGCCGACTCACTCTTGGGATGTAACAGCATCGCAGCCAAGAGGAATGAAAGACTAGTGATTACCCTTCTGAGGCAGGCATGAAAGTGACTTTGGGACCTCGAGTGCCCCAGCCCCTCAGCCCATCCCACAAATCTGAGTAGAAACTCACTGAAGTGCTTGTAAGAAATTGGACCTTTGCTTTCATGTGATCTTAAGGGATCTGTGAGCAGAAAGGTTGGTCCCATGAGATGTGATAAGGACAGAAGCTTTCAGGGACACTGGAATTTGTCCAGGTCCTCCTCCCTATCTTCAGAAAGCACCATTCCTGCTTCTAACCCTAGGGTCCTGGCTGCAGTGGAACTATCCACCTGCTCTAGAGGGGCTCTCGCCACTCACCTTGCCTCTCTTCCCACACTCTTTCTTGGTCCAGGGTGCTTTTGCAAGTCACCCAGGACCTCCTGTTTCCCGGACTCATCCCACATTGATGCAATCTTGTCTGGTCCTCCCCTACTTCCTGATATATTCTCTCTCTTCCCCTTTCTCTTTCCTCCAAAGGCCCCCATCCTGCCCTTAAGTGTTCCACAGGGTTTTATTCCTTTTCTTAACTCTTCACATAATCTCATCCATGCCACATCTCAATGACCATGTGTACATAAATGCCTCCCAAGGGGCTGTGGAGTTCCAGATGTGTATTCCCCCTCCCCCAAACACAACCAAGGTTATTCACCTATGAAGCTCCTGGCTTCTCACCTCCCCAACTTCTCATCTCGTCCTCCCTAAGCTCTCCACAGATCCGGTTTTGAACATGTGCATCTACACACACCCAGCGTGCACACCCTCAACTCATCCTGACCACAGGGCACTGAGAGTCCATGTTGTCTCCCAGAGAGCAGCTATGCCCTGCACTTATGTGAGAACACAGGCTCCCCTTGCCCTCCAGTCCATATACCCGCTCCCCCCGCAGGCCCCTGACCTAGCCAGCCGCTGGGCCCTTTCTGTTTCAGACACTGACAGGTCATAGTAAAGGGTCTGGGACCTCCACAGAACTCCTTTGTTTCATAGTTCTGACTCCTCAGAGCCCTTGTGACCCTGATTCTACTCCTGTTATACCCCCAAGGGACTATATGATCACCATCTGTCCACTTGGAAAGAATTTTGGGTCTTTTTGAGTTTTGCTCCCCCCTGCCCTTCTTGTGGCTCCAAGGAAGCACAAATGCAGATGCTTGAAAAAGGCTAAACAAGTCCTCAGTTTCTCTGTCTGGAACAGCTCACAGAGAGCCAGATGGGCCTGGGTGGCACTGGGGGATGAACCTTTTGAGAAGGGGCTTAGTGCTGCTCTCCTATGGTCTGGGCTGTCCTGTCTTCCATTCTTCCATCCAAGCCTTCACCTCAGGAAGAATGTGGAAACTTGGAGAATGCTTATCGGGATGGAGAACCACATTCTAAAACTGTTTTGGCCTGAAAGGGCCTATGGGAAAGTGCAGGGTGCATTTGGAATCAAGAAAGAGGTGGGCTGTAGCACAGCATAGTGCAGCGGGAGAGTCTGCCTCTCGTGCGTCAGGCCTTACATTCCATCCTTCCTCAGTATTGAAAAACAAAGTCATCTGTAAGAAATCCACAAAATGGGGCCACAACAAACTGAGCTTTCAAAAGAAGGGGTCAGAGGTTCAGATGCACTGCAGAACCTGCCAGTACTTCAGCTGCCCCCAACCATGTGGCTCCACCAGAATGTTTGTGTTCCCTTCTTTACACCCTGCCAGAAACCAAACAAGAGTCCTAGCTCCTTTTTCTTTTTTTTTAAATATACCTCAACCAAATGGATTTTTTTTCAAAACCTTTATTATTGTGTGTGTGCACATGTGTGCCTATGTATGTATATGTGTCTAGAAGTCAGAAGACAACTTTAAGGAGTCAGTTCTCTCCTTCAACTTTTTACATGGGTTCCAGGAATCAAATCCAGGTCACCAGGCTTTACACAGAAAGCACCTTTACTCGATGAGCCATCTCAATGACCTCTAGTTCCTTTTCCTGAGAAGGAATCAGACTGGTCACCTTCATCCTTTGAGCCAAGCCATAGAGGCCACAGGTCACTGATCAGCCCATAAATTGGCTCATTTTGGGTCAGGCAAATGGGAGTGGGATGGTCATGGGGAACAGCCATCTGGGCACCAGTATGGGAGAAGCAAGGCCTCAGAAAGGGAGGGAGCAGGGCAAACAATATTGAGATCTCTTAGCACAATGGATCAGCTAGGGACACCACAAGCATTAAGGACATCAATCAATAACCATGTGAAATCCAGGCCACTTAGTTTTCTCACCTGACAAGTTATGGGTAAATGGACTGTGAATGAATTGGTCTGCTTCTTTTGCTGTGAGATCAATGGCATAAGGTAGAGAAGGGAGAGGGTTCTGGACTGAACACTGTAGCATCTGTCTCCTGTGGTCAAACTAGCAACAGTTTACCCAGAACCACCCATCCCCTATGTACTTAACTTGGGGCCTTATTGGCAGAAGTGGGTCACATGACCACCCAGCATGGGAAACTGGGAATTTAGATGTGATTTGTTCAAAGAAAGGGTCCAAAAATTCTACAGGCCAAATTCAGTCTTCTGCTTGATTTTGTAAAGCCCACAAACTGAAAATGGAGGAAAGTCAAAAGGATAATATAATATTTTATAACATTTTGTGAATAATAGCTTCATATTTTCATCATTTCATTGTGAGAATAACATATCATCTTCAATTTTGCCTCTTGAATCCAAAAACCTAAGTTTTACTTACTTGCCCTTTACAAAAGTCTATCGACCCTAGCCATAGGACAACAAAGGGAGTCATTGATTGCTTCCTTGCCACACACTACTACCTGGGCCAGAATAGGATTCTGGCAGCAAGGAGCCTCAGAAAATGACATCAGGCAGGCAGCCTTCAGACTGCAACATACTTCAAGCTTGTGTTCAGTTATTTATCCCTTTTGTGGCATACATCCATTGTGCATAGTCATGGTTTAGTTATTTAATCTTCAGACAGCATAAACTAAGAGCTGCCTCCCCCACCAGGCCCTAGAACAAGGGAGCTATTCTGACATCCATGTGCTCCAAGGGTATCTTCTCAGACTGGTCAAATATATAGGATTTGGAAAGAAACCTAAGAAAACAGGAGTATCAGAAAATACCTAACTGACTGTGCTGAGGTGGTGGACCTCAGTGTTATAACTGCAGGAAGCAGGTCTAGTGCCCAGCCTCCAGTAAGCTGGAATGAGCTACCTCACTCACTGGGAAGTAAAGTTTGTTAAACTCAAGGTCAGTGTCTAATTTTTAAGCAGAAATTTAGCTATCACACAAGTCAATATCCTAATGATCATCAGTGAACTTCATGGGGAGCCAAACTGTAATCTGAAAGCCACTTAATGAGGTTAAAGGCAGAGACAGGGAGGTGGTGGACAGGGACCAGGGTGCTACCTCCTGGTATGCCCTGCCTCTGTTCCATGATGCATCCCTCCCCAACCTAAAGGTGCATATTGTCAAGTCCTTTGTAAGACTGACTTATGCTTCATTCCTACTTCTTTCCTCCTGTTCTGTGCCTTTACATTCACTGTGCTTGTCTCTAATCTCATAGGTCATGGGTTCATTCCAGAGTGGAATACCTGGAACACAGTCTTAAGAGCTTTTATTTCTAAGTTCTTAGGAAACATATTATGGTCACCATAGTGGACAAGCTTATAACATTTGCTGTTGCCTTAGTCTCATCCAGATGAGGTCATTGTTGCTCACCTCCAGCCCCCAAACCCTAGATGTGAATTCTGCCTGCACAGGAGGACTCTAGATGCTTTCTGATACCTTCAACCAGTCAATATTCTCCAACCAACAAATACCTATATGAAATCACTGAATTATGCATGCATTTGATATTATTTACAGAGCACCTACCACGTGCCAGGTAGGTGAGGATATAACAGTTTACAAGGGGGGCGGGGGACTCAGCTTCCATGGAGTTCTTGTTCTAAGATACACAACAGACTAGGTAATAACAATGTAAACAAAATATATGGTGGGCTAGACAGTAGTAAGAAGGAACACTTCTTAAACGGAGGGACTCTGGATAGACTGACTAGATACCAGTGGGTGAATTTGCACTGAGGGACATCTAACTTTACATGA